CCTTGCTTTCCCAAAAGTTGTTCTCATCCAGGGTGGACTGCAGTTTCGACTTTGCATCGGTCTTATCAACACCCTCAGCGGGAGTCGAACCGCTACAGTGCAGGATGGGAGCTTGACACGCTCACCACTCGGCTACACTGCCACGAGCGCCTTTTGGGTCACAGGTCAAATGTGAATCTTCAAGGAAGGCCAGGCCTTTTTGCCATATCATATTCTTTTGGTGGAATTTTCGATGAAGCAAACGTATATCTGTTATAACAATCGACTACAATACTTTATTTTTCGAATTAAGTATTGTTTTCGTGACTACCAGTAAATCTGTAATATGAGATGTCTTCACCCAATTTCGTTTAAGGTTATGAATTCATCTCATATTACAGATTTACTGGTAGTCACGAAAACAATACTTAATTCGATTGTTATAGCATATATACGTTTGCTTCATCGACAATTCCACCAAAAGAATATGATATGGCAAAAAGGCATGGCCTTACTCGAAAATTCACATTTGACATGTGACCCAAAAAGCGCTCGTGTCAGTGTATCCGAGTGGTTAGCGTGTCAATTTCCCATCCTGCACTGTCGTGGTTCGACTCCCGCTGAGGGTGTTGCTAAGACCGATGCGAGGTCGAAACTGCAGTCCACCCTGGATGATAACAACTTTTGGGAGAGCAAGGCTATGTGAAATTCAATGGAAACCTCAGCTCAACTCATATCATTGTGGGAAAATTCTTCTTCTACCAATCATTCATCACCTTAAATGAAATTGATTAAATACATCTCATATTACTCATTTACTGGTAGTCACGAAGACAATACTCAATTCGAAAAATATAGTATTCATGATTCCCAGCATTAGACCCTATTATTTGATACATTTCTAGACGTTTCGCTGGCATCATAGTCGGCATCGTCAGTGGGATTTGCCATTGTTAGCACTAAGTTATAACTTATCAATAGTTTGTCACTTTGCTAAGTTGACAGTGCTGGCGAAACGTCAGGGAATGCCTTAAGTCAAGAGTCCAGTGCTGGAAATCAGCAATAAATACTATGGCAAAGGACGAAAAACTAGGTTCATTCCACAAGGTCTCCCTATCGCTCCGACCAAGTTGCGAAAGAGATGTCAAAACAACACTATACAACTAAAGGAGACTGCGACCAAACAAAAGACCACATCATTTTGATGTTCATATCTATGATCTAAATATTAATTTGTTTGTCATTCTTACAAACAATATTATAATTCATTTAATAGTTTAATAAAAAATCCTAAATCACACTAATAGAATATAAAAACTCTAGAAATTATTTACAATTAGGCAATAATTCAATACGCTTCCAAAGGCTACTGTCGAGATCCAATTTCCTGACGATCTTTAGATTTGGTGATATTTTTGTTTTATTTTAACTTCACCTAGATTTGAGTAGATTTTGGGAGTATCAGTACTTATTGAATAAAAGAATAGTCACCCTAGATCACCAAAGGTGATTTAAGGACTCCTTTAAGTTTACCCACAGTTTTCCCACAGTTTTCCCACAGACCTAAAGATGTAATTGCATCTCATATAGCCATACTTCTTTAAAGGTATTCCCGTCCAGGACGGACTGAATTTTTGGCCTTGGTCTCATCAGCACCTCTGGCGGGATTCGCTATTAGATCGTGAGTTTCATGGTGAAGTTACCACTCCACCAATATTAGTTAACTTACGAAGTATTAATAATTTGTCATTGGTACTGAATAGCTTGTATCTAATAGATCCGTGCTCGGAATTGATCACATTAGGGGTGCTGGTGAGGACAAGACTGTGATCCAACCTGGACGAGAGTAACTTTCCGGAGGAAAGACAATGTGAAATTCAATGGCATCGTGAGACCTATGAGTTGTGTTCATACTGTTTCGTTTACAGTGTTGAAGGACTAGTAATGGAATTTTCCCACAATGATAGGAACAGAGGTGGCCAGTGGCAAAGTCGAAACTGCCGTCCACCTTGGATGATACCACTTTTTGGGAAAACAAGGCTATGTGAAATTTAATGGAAACGTCAGCTCAACTCATATTATTGTGGAAAAATTCAACTATCAGTTCTTCATCACCTTAAACGAAATATGGTGAACACAACTCATATATCTGATTCATTGATAGTCTCGGAAATATACTCATCAACGAAAAAAATCGTTATACCTACACATCTTATTGTGGGAAAATTTAACAATCAGTCTTTGAATCACTTTTGGCGACCTAGTCTGACTAAGTTTTCATTCTACCTTAACTGCACGACTGGTGAGCTTGATACATAAAAAGGATTGCTCAAAAAAGTTTTAAGATCCCTATATTCCAGATATTTCTCTTAATATCACCGCCACGTTGTTGCATCATATCATTTTTCTTTTATCTCATTAACTCTATTTAGTCGAGCAATATGAAGCAGCAGATGGACAATCGATTCATCAATAGGCCGGTATCTCCTACTCGGACGTTGTTCACCGATGCGACGGGGGAGAATCGTGGATATGCACCAACTGCTGGTGATACCACAATTACTGGGCCAGAAACCGGAGTAATTACAAGCTCAGGGGCCGGATCGGCCACTTTAAGGCCACTTGTGATTCCGACCGCGCCGCCCACCAGCATATTGGGCGTCTTTCTAGGGCAGCATGAGTTGGCCGATCTGAACGCGAAACGTCTCCGACATATGGTCACAATGATGGCCTTTCTAGGTGAGATCACTTGGACGTCTCTTTTCACAGTGTTCGAGTTGAACTTTTGCTGCCCTTATTGCCATTTAGCTCGTAGAGGTGTGTTTCAACGGTCTTATAACCATCTTTCTCAATTTCATACCAAATAACTTCATTATTCAGGCGGGATTTTCAAGAAGACGCTTCGATACGCAAAAAAAACTTTACAGGCCCACCATCTTGTCTGGGTTGGGTCAAATATACTGATATTGTGGCATGATTTTCCATTTTAAAGGGAAAGTTGGTTGGGAGAAATTCGTGATCTGGTCTCACCGGAAACCGAAGGACGATTGTCGTGTAAGGAAGATTGTTGAATTGTGCGAAGAAGTCCTCAGCTCACCGTTTTGCGACGCCGATGAAATTGTGCTAAGCTTTCGTCCTTATTGTGACTGGCATCATCATAGAATGGGTCCATACTTTACGCAATCTTACGCCTTGACGTGAAGTCCCAGTAACCCGGAAAACGTTGTGTTTTGGATCAGTCTATTGAGTGTCATGTATTGGCCATGTGCTCAGCAAGCTTAGACTTTTGGACTCACACAAGTTTACAAGCGGTTTTGTGTTCGCATAGTCTCTTGTGAATGGGTCACAGGTCTCCCCACATGTACCCTACAAAATAAGCACAAAACCTTTTAAATGGCCTGATCTATAAAAAGGGTCTGAATATTCTCTAGACGAAGGGACTTCTGAAGAAAGTGTTAATTTCTCTTTATACATCGTTTTTCTTTTCCATTTCCTCAGTATTTCACCCGACTTTATCGCAAGCTGACAGGAAGATAAATTTGGGAACCGAGTAGAACAACTGATGTACATTCCACAAAGTCTTTCTTTCCCTCGCTCAAAATGCAATAGTGAGCTCAAACCAGCAGCAATACAAGCATTCTCAATCGACACCGGTCTGGCAGATGCAAACCATACGTACCAAGAGATTGTTAGATTGAGGGATTTACTGCTTCAAAACATTTACCCATTAGGATTAGTAGGCAATTACATATTAATTGTAGTTACCAAGAGTAAGGGAGTTTGTTATCAGGCGAAGGATAGAAAACTAGACAATTGTACTCGGTTCTTGATTTTTCTTTCTGTCAGATTGCGAAAATTTTGGGTGAACTACTGAGGAAATGGAACATAGAAACAAT